AAAAAAAAAAAAAAAAAAAAAAAAAAAAAAGAAAAAAGAAAAGAAAAGTGTGCAAGAAGAAGGTGAAGAGAAGTTATAACTAAAGATTTGGGGCAGGAAGAAAAAGAAACGTTTAGCCTTGGAAGTACACATCAAATTATTTGGATGCAAATACAGCTTAATGGTATTACCCAAGGCAACTCTGGAGCAAGCCTTTGTAATTGCCGTATTCAACCAGAGTTCAATAAGGAGTTAAACACCAACCTATACCAGTGAACAAAAACTGGGGTGGCCAGTCAGATAATCTCCCTCAACTCTACAATCACCAGTGCATCATCCGGTTCCATCTTAGTCTCAGCAAGTCCCTCCCTCCTCCCATCTCTGCCCTGTAACACACACACACATTGACTATCATTTTTTTGTGTTTACAGTCAATCAATAAATTTACTGTATTTAGAATTACAGGGCGGTAAAGCTAGAAGAGATCTTGGGTATCATCTTAGTCAAACTCTCCCATTTTACAAATGATGCAACCGAGGCCCAGAAATCATTGGTGACCCGGCCAGAGTCAAATTTGAACTACTCACTTGTAGACGTCGGATGAGAACTTAAGGTACCATACTTCAGCGTTCTTTTCTGTCTATTATATTGCATTGTTAATTCAAGAACACAATGAACTCTCGGCCTGAGCAACATAGTAAGAGCCCATCTCTATAAAAAATACAAAAATTAGCCAGAGGTACTGGCTCACACCTGTAGTCCCAGCTACTTGAGAGGCTGAGGTGGGAGGATCACCTGAGCCTGGGAAGTCAAGGCTGCAGTGAGCCATGATCACATCCCAGTACTCTGGTCTGGGCAACAAAGCAAGACCCTGTCTCAGAAAAGAAGAAAAAAAAGAATACAATGAGCAAGGTTTTCTTTTGGAGTGATGGAAAATGCTTTGGATCTAAATATGTTAGTTGCACAACAATGTGAATGTTCTTAATGCCACCGAATTGTTTACTTTAAAATGGTTAAATGTATGTTCTTTGAATGTTCACATTGATGGAAAAAAATCATTACAAAAAGAAAACAATGAGAATTAATTCTTTTGTATTATTTTGAATTAATAAGAACCCATTATTAATTGTACACCAGTGAGTCCACCTGAACAGCATTAACCCCTAAGTCCAATATTATTAATTCAGTCCCCCAGAATCATGGTGGTCTGCTGCACGACACTAGGTAAATAAGGCTCAATGTGTTGGCTTTCATCTCTTCATTTTAAGCCTGGCACTGTTATTTCCACAGTACCGTAATGTCAGGGAATTATATTTAAGCCATTCTTAACTCCTCCAGCCCACATTGATCTTTCCCTTCTCTGAAACTCCAGCACTTATAACCTCAACTAGATGATTTAGAACTTAATTATGTTCTATCTTGTG